GTATGTTCATGTCCGACTTGGTTTTGTGTGATACGCGCTGCGGACAGATTGTCATGGTAACGGTCCAAGATGGGAAAATATCAGACCGGTAATCAGCCAATCAAAGCGTGCGTACGGTCCAAGTCATATAATAATGGGATATATCACTACTCATGACAAAGTAGAGCATTTTGTCTTAATGTGACGTAAATTGTAGTTTTAAATTTAAAGTTTAAATATGTGCTGTACGCGTTTTTTCACGTTCAGTTAAACCAAGAAACTTGCACTCTTTTACAGCCTGCACTTGGGAGTTCTGAATAACAACAGGCATGTTTTGGATGTGTTCAGCTGGAGGTTGTTTACTTTACTCCACGGACAACATTTTGTATCTCAGTTTTGTACAAGGATTCATTGTTTTCACTAATGACCAAGTATAAAGTAAAGGACTCAAAATACATTCCTGTGGAGATCCTTGTGCTCACAGAAACAATATCTGAAAAACAGTCATTGATTTTCACTCTCTGAGATCTGTCGGTTAAAATCCTAAAAATCTACTTACACATCATTTAAACCAGGAGACACAAGTTTTTCAATCAGTTTACCTGGGACAAGACAATTAAAAGCAGAGATATAATCAATAAACAGGATTCTTGCAACAGATTTACTAATGTCCAATACGACCCGCTCCAAACAGACGAGAGGACCACAGGACAATAGTCAATGGGGCATGTCACAGGAGTTTTCTTCGGAAGTGGGATTATGGTCAACTTTCAGCCGCTGGCCGGCACAGTACAGATCTTTAGTGAGAAGTCGAAAATGTTCGCTTAAACAGGGGAATTGCTTGGAGCACAGTTTCAGGACTGTTTGAGGAGAGATACCCTCTGCCCTGGGGCTTCAAAGCAGCCCTGCAGCTTAACGTTGGCCTCCTCAGACCAGCACTGCACAGTGTTAGACGTTAACCTTTCACCCAATCAATCAACCTTTATTTGTAGAGCTCTTTCCTAAACAAGGGAGCAAGTGCTTCACTGCCCATATCACACAAGGCATAAATCACATCACATAAATCATAAACATTAAAATCACAGAGGGCATAAACAAACTTAAGATCACATGGAATATTAAAAACATAAAAAAATAAAATCACACAGGTAATTAAAAACATAACCACAGTGCATTGAGAAGAGAAGAGATAAAACCCACCAGTTGTCTGCACAGAACTGCCTTCATCCTGGGGTGTAAATCTGAATTTTGGCACTGCCATTGTTGGTTTTATTTAATAATTTAAGGTCAATGGGATTTAATTTCCAGTTTCAATATACCTTCCAAAGTATAAGTAAGTGGCTGTAAGTAGTCGGTATAGATTATTAGTATCCAAGTGTATTTACCTCTGTCCAGAAGGTAAAGTGATCACCTGCATTTGTCTGTCTTTTTGCCTTTTTGTTGGCTTGTCTCCCACAACATTTTGTGTAACATAACTCCAACCGTTTTGGCAGGTTTTAAACAAAATCTTGAGCAAAAAAGCACAATGGCCCAGTGAACAACAGATTTCTGATGATCTTTGAAAAGACAGAGACACACATCACTACCCTTGTAGTGCCCTTGATTAGACTTTGATGCTGCATCTTTTACAACAATAGACTGTGTCTGGATTTGACCTCTGCTTCACTCTCACTAAACCATCTGAGTTTGTGTTTGCTGTTCTCCATTTCCCAAGGGCATTGCACTGTTGTGTAGCTACACTGCCAGCTGTAATTAGTTAGTATTCATTCCTACAGATGTAGAGGCGCTGAGAGTCGACATCCTCTTGTACCCAAAGGCCTTCAAATCAGCCTCATTCTACCCAGAGGTGTTTGGTATGAGGTCAGTGCTTTTGTCCTTGGCGGTTCTGTGGAGATTGAGTCCAAGTATTGCTGTAACTGACACTGGTTATCTGTGTCCAGCATCTGCGCTTGCAGCTGGTTAATCCTCCCCTGCAGCTCTCACTGCCTCACAGCTAGAGCCCACCTCTTCATTTCATTTCTTTATTTATTTGACACTGGGACAGTACATGTCAATGACCATTTATGGTTGAACATAATGAAGACACACCAGATTGTACAGATCTTGGCCCCCCCTGCGGTGTCTTCAGAGACGCTGCAATCATTACCAGTATTTCTGGTGCTCCGGTCTGCTGTGGCACGTTAGCATGCCTTCAGGTGTTGTTGGCCTTTAGAAATGATTCAATAAATCATCTAATTAGTCAAAATAATGTGAAAAAAATAGTAGATGATAATGACTTTGCAAAAGACTGCAGAGTTTAATTTTTGCATCAGTTTCAGCAGATGGTGTGTCATGTGATTGTTTTCATTGGGAAAAATCTCGCTAAAAAAGGTTGCGGAACACCGCTTTATAGCTGGACCTCGTGGAATTTCATACGCTCCCCAGTCTGTTGTTTCAGACATATGGGACAATGGGTGCATGTAACAAATGTATATTGTGTTGGTAGTGTGTATTCAGGCAGCACGCCATGGTGCAGTGGTTAGCGCTTATGCTTCACAGCAAGAATGTCCTGGGTTTGATTCCACCTCCAGTTCTTTCTGTGTGGAGTTTGCATGTTCTCCCCATGGCTGTGCAGGTTTTTATTCTTCCACTAAAAGCATTTTAAAGAGTTCTGGCATGTACTGTACCTCCTCTATTGGCAACTCCGCTCCCATCTCTGTGTGGAGGGAGAGACAAATGCCCACAACAATTGTAAAGCGCTTTGTGAGTCTGGTCTGTGAAAGGCGCTATATAAATAAAGATTACTTACTTACTATTGAATTTCCAGGATAAAACCAATGTATATACATCTTTCAAAGGTTTAACAATAAAAAGTATATGAACAAATACGTAAGTAATCTAATTTTGTTTATATTGTATTCTTGAATGCAATAACCTAATGTTGAGTTTCATAATTTTCTAAACAAGGCAAAAACTAAAATTTGTCACTAAAAGAATGAAAAATGGAAACGCATGATTAGTTCCTGTTGACTCACATCTATTTCATACAAATCCTTCTGTCACATGTCCACAGAAATCTTATGGAGATTTCCTGTCAACTTGTTTGGCAGATATTTTTGAATATTTTATGTGGCACCATCAACATTGCTTTGGTGTCTGCTCCGGGGAATTTTTAGCATGCAGTGTGGGTAGACAACTGGGATGTCCATATTGCAGGATTTGGCATTACATTTTCTTTTGCTGTTTTTGTGATACAATGCATCAGAATGATTGTCTGCCTTTGTAAACAGAACAAATATCTTCTGAATTTGAAAATCCTCCTTTACATATTATCTGCCTGTTATTTCACAACATTGAAAAAGCTAGAGCTAAGATCCTAACCACCGCGACAATGCCGATTAAGATAACCGTGTTTCTCCATGTACTGTAGCAGCCTTGGTGTAGGTGTAGCAATGTTTGAGTCCACTGTGGTGTTAGCCAGGTGGTGTTGTCACACAGCAATAAAGCGAGCATCTGTCTGTAAAACGCCTTGGGAATTGTGCCAGCTTCCCAGTCGAGCAGCCCTTTTCTTCTCTCCAAATGCATGCTGGGATAGTTTTAACCACTCCATGACCCTGAATAACAACAAAGTAAAGATGTGCTTTCACAGAAGGTGGGGGGAAATTATGTATCCTTGTAACAAAGTTTTTCAATGATTAAAAGTCTGTAGTCGAGGAAGGTTCAATACAAAACTAGTTGATAAAGAAGTAATGAAAATAATTATAGAGAGAAATAGTCATGACCTCAGTATGATGGAAGTAGTGAAAGAGAGGTTGGGGGTCAAAGCTTTTTGGGCCATGTGTGAGTGTTAAGGTGCTTTCAACCAAAATATTTTTATCCACCGTGAGAGACGTGTGGGGAGGACTGCTGGGCTCCACCTACAAATTGTGTAGGACAGTGTGTGTGTGTGTGTGTGTGTGTGTGTGTGAGAGAGTGTGTATGCGTTGAACAACTTTATCCAAGAGCTCAACCAAAGCTAAACCAGGAATGAATAAGAAGGAAATTGTGATTGTGCTTGTATGCATTCACCCTGGGGTCACATTCTTCCAGAGTAAATAAGAGGAAGGGAAGAGCCCGCCCACCATGTTGGTATGATTCTTGTGTCTGATTTTTAATAAATGTACTTCCAAAACCCTGCGGCAGCATGTTGAGGCGTCTTCAGTCTGAACGGGCCTAACACGCACAACTTATATTAAATCCAATTAATAGTCAATTGTCTTTTGTGCAGATAGAAAGAAAGATAGATACTTTATTAATTCCTGTAGGAGAAATTAAGGTGACCGGTAGCAGCAAAAATGAAAAATAAAATTGATCATTCTAAAAAGATAACAATAGTAATAATCAGCAACAGCACTTCAGGTCACTTCAGCAGAGGTGGAGTAGCCTCTTGGTGGAGTAGAATGGGTCACAGCAGCGAAGATTGAGTAGCCTTTGGGTGGAGCAGGACGGGTCACAGCAGCAGAGGTGGAGCAGCCTCTGGGTGGAACAGGACAGGTCAAAAGGTGGAGTAGACGCTTAGTTCCGAACATTTTCTCTGCTCTAGTCCAAAGTAAAATGCTAAATGCTTCATTGGCATTTTTTCAATAAGTTATCATTCCTCCAGTGCATTTTTCAACTGATCCGCTTGGTTCGGACCATGAATCCTCTCTGCTCTGGTCTGGACCAGTGCAAAACTATGCACACTGTACTGCAGCAACATCTCAGGTAGAAAAAAGCAATACAAATAAAAATTGTAAAGCACAAAACAGAAACTGTTTCAGAGCTACTTAGGACTTCAAAAGTAAACAGCAGACCATGTACAAAATATGAGTTTTGTAAAAGTCATTCTGTGGGTAGTAACCTTCATTATGCAACATCACAATCTAATGAACAGCTTCAGAGTTCTCTTCCAAAACCGTGACTTTGACAAGGGTGAAATTTAGAGTGAGTCATTCTGTTCACAGAGTCGATGTGAGTTTAGTTTTGTTGGCTGACATGATGTCGCACGTTGTGTTTGTATCCAGGTGCAGCAGGATGTGGTGTGGACTGCGAGCGTGTGCACTGGCGCCCCTGCTGGCCCTCCTTCTGCTTCATACTGTGGACTGCGGTAAGTTCTCATCAAATCTTTGGCAGTGCCCATCCAACACACACGCACACACACACGCACACAGACACACACATATACACACACACTGACTCCAATTCCCCCAGTCTACCTCGGTGTAAATGGAGCATGGGACTGCAGCGTAATTACAGATAAAGCTGAAGCTATTATCGCTAATATCTTCTCCTATTATGTTGTGTGATTTATAGTTATCATTACAGAAAGTATTGAAGTATAATTACAATTTATACCCCTGCTGAATAAGGTAGTTGTGCACAGATCTGCAAGTCAATCTTTCACCTGTCACAGCAGTTAAACTATAGAACTATTGGACATACTTGAATTTTAAGTCTTAAAAATAACATAGAAATTGTAAAGATCAGTGTACTTTACCACCACATAACAATACATGTAAGCATTGGTTGACATGATGGCCACCTTTCCACTTGTCTGCATAGATTCAAAGATAATGTGTGGGTAACAGACGGGTTCACAGATGCAATTTAATGCTCTGATTGTTCAATATCTCACTGGGAGAGGAACTGTAAAAATATGCCGACATTGGTTGAACATTTGTGCGTACAGTATTGCAAAAGGGCAGTTGGGATAAACAGGATCAAATACAGTTGACTGGAATAAATTATAATACATTATAACATAGTTTGACTTTTATATTGCTTATTAAAATCCAATTTTAGTTTGGCGTATTTTTCTTTGTGTTAGATTTGAGTGCAAATAGGCAATGACCATCTAACTGAAAACAAGTGGTTATATTTTTTCAACAGCTTCAGGTTCATGTGACATCACAATATTTCAAAGAGCCTATGGTTTGAAATTGTGATGATTTTACTGGTAACTGTCAAAAGTCAGTATTTTCTACAAGACAAAAACTCATAAAGTTGTCTAGAAGTGGTGACACTATTAAAATAATGATCCGGGAAAACAACATTTTATTTTTCTACATTCCATCCATCAATTTTCTTCCCGTTAATCCATTTCTGAGTCAGGGGGTGGCAGTCAGAGCTGCACCCAGTACACAGAGCACCAGCCCCTCACTGATCCTCCTGCAGGTGGTGGGTCCACAGGAGCTGAGATCTTTTTCAGCGGGGGCTTCAGGCAAAGTGGGGTTAAGTGTCTTGCCCAAGGACACAACGACAGCAGTCATCAGTGGGAGTCGTGAAGTAGGTCTTATGGTAGATTCGTACCTACAACCTTCAGGCCCAAAGGCCAATGCTCTACCAACTGAGCTACTGTCGCCCTATATTTTCTACATTTTCTATATTTAATATTTTTCTACATTTCATATTTCTTTACAAAAATGCTTTTTTCTCATAGATTTGTATCGGCAGCTGCCCTCCAACTGAAATAGAATTCTTACAACACCATCACAAACCTCTGGCTGAGTAAAAAGCAGAATCCGCTGTATAGTCTCTTTAAAGTGTATGAAGTTAGTCTTGATGAATCCCTCATCAGCTGCCTGTCAGTAGCATTTGTTCCTGAGCAGTTTACTCAGCGTCGCATTCCCGGCTGGAGCGTTGGCCTCTGTGAGCTGTGCTTGTCCTCCCCGCTGCGTGGCCATGTGTAGACTCATGTTCTGGTGTGACCAATGCGCAGAAGGCACGCCCCCTCACAGACCGCAGTGGCCTCCCTGACCGTCTGCTGCTCTGTGCTTTGCAACAGCTAAAAAATATAGATGCAAAAATACAATATCTGTGTCTCTAGATCTGGTTGAAGGGCTTTAGTATGAGGCAGTGTGTGCTCAGAGGCGCAGAGATGATGAAAACCTTGTTCTGTTGTGTGTGCATACAAGCCCTGAGGTTACATCTGTCACAGCGCCAGCACAGCCAAGTTTGCCAAGCATGGAAAACTGTTGGTGCCCACACAATCTCTGAAGAGCGTCCAATAGTTATTACAGCATTTCAATTCATAATAGCTATTTGAATATTTTACTTGAATCAGTCCATCATGAAAAAGTATAACTAGTGACTGATTTGGCCGGAATATCTTTCTTGTTGTGTTCAAATAGTTTGTTACTGTATATAGATTGAACAATAATACTTTTTGCCAATTACTCTGTGGAGAGGAGAGAAGAGAAGAGGAGAAGGGGAGATCCAGTATCTTAAGCTTCCCCTGTGACATATTCGTTGATTGACTGTAGTTGGAGGCCAGCTGAAGGAATAGAAATGTATTGTATTTACCCGTGTGTGCCATGTTGATATGATTTCTGCAGCTGTGAGCGTTTATTTATGAATTTGAGCTGTAGGCTGTGCCACATGTGATAAATGTATCATTATGCTTCAGAAGGTGCAGAATTAGTCTCGGCAGCCGCAGCCTCCGGGGACACCCTCGTGTGATGGCCCAGGACGAGTCTTCTCCAGAGGGGACAGAGCAGCAGTGGGGTGCTTCATATCTGTCAATGGGACAGGGGGGAAGAGGCACGAGGGGCTCTCAACAACAAGAGGGCTTTGCTTGAAGAAAAGGGAAAATATTAACACAAAGAAAATTGGCGTATAATATTTCGCAATGTGGGCTCTGGGAAGTCAAATTTGCTCTTTTAATTTAACTTAAACAAAAGTGGACTCTTCATGGGATTGTTTGCACAGTCTGCCTTAAACTATGTATATTATTGGTTATATTACCTGTAGGGCTGGGTAGCATTAGATTTTTCGGGTATGGGTACTTTTTCAGTAACCTGCATTTTGGTTCTGGTTCTTTTTTTGGTACTATCACATGAACATAACATTTAAAAGCATTCTCGTCACCCTCATTGCAGCCATTTACCTTTTTACTGTCCATTTTTAAACCATCTTTTACAGTTGTTTCTATTGGAAATGAGTATGAATGTGTTGTAAGCAGCCACAACAAGAGAAATACTTTTTCAGTTGATTTTCCTGTTAAAATGACACCTATATTAAAAAAACTAAAGACGTGATACATTTGGACCAAATAAATAGCTTTTTTTATCAGTAAGAACCAACCCTTTTGGTGTTAAAGTTAACCCGCGCCCAGCTCTATCTGAGTATTTTTCCCTGTTATTTGTTTGTTGTGGTTTGATTTGATTATGTGAAAAATTAAGATGAAGTTTTAGATGACATTGTGCAAGAATTAGAAATAATAAGAACATGTTTTACTTTGGGAAATCCTTTAATTATATTGGTTTAGTAGCACTTATGACATGATCCCTAAAATACCTGTGATGTTGTCTCACCAAATGATGTGAAAAGCTGTACCGTATTTGTCCGCTAATTATGGCCTGTGTGTTGGGGGACATCTGAAATAACTTCCTGTTGAGAGGAACAGCACTAGCACTGCAGTGAAAGCAGTGATCAAGCACTTTGGAAAGAGAAGAAGGAAAACTAGTTCTCGCTCATTTGATTCACATTACACAGCACATAGCCTCAGATGTGAGCTTTGAAGAGGCCACCCCTAAAGCTGTGTGGATGTGTGCCCTGAACTATTGCTCTTCTCGCTCCTGCGCTGCTGTTGCCATGGTTATCCAAGTTTGATGATTATCACAGTTTGGTTTAGCGTTTTTCATCAAAATAGAAGTTTAAGGCTCTCTGAATATTGCTGTCTTTATTGAGCTTTAAACCATGTTACCTACAACATTGTTGAGTTTCTGAGTGGATTACGACTTACTGTGGTATGCAGGGATTTGTTGTTTTTTTTCTTTTAAAAAGTCCCTCATATTTTATTACATTTTGATCTGAGTACGCTGTAAAGAACTGAAGGGTATTCCATATGAACAAGTCGAGAAATCCTCAGTTTAAATCCCCAGGCACACCTGTGCATCAAACCGTTTTAGTCTATCCTGACTGTCTGTCTCTTTAATGCAGCTTACAGCCCAGCAATGGACTTGTATCGCCCACTCCAGGGGATAAAGTATAGAAGTCTACTTATTTCACTCTTTGAGGTTACCTGACAGCATCATGCATGAATCTTCATAATAACGCATTATACTACTGTGTTACTCAAATTGTAATTTTGTTTCACCCAACACTACCTGTGGCTGTTTTGTGCTCTTTTGTAGGAGAGTCGTATCTGTATTTTCATGTCTCTAGCCCTGAAAATCTTCAATCTGGAGAGACTCAAACATACAAAACATGAGTATTGGAATTGTATGTTGTTTGTCAAGTAATCTGACACTACAAAAATCACACATATGACTCTGAGGATAATATTTTCAAGATTACACTTATGGTGCTGTGCAGAATGTGGTTAGGCTTTGGCGCTTAGACCCCGGCAAATCACTGCACGATTGCAGAAGGAGAAAGAGATTATGAGATGAAATCCCCGGGGCCTAGACCTTGATGGTGGGAGCTAGGAGAAGGATGAATGAGCTGGCCTAGAATGAGGCGGAGATGGGGAGGAGGAGGGTTGTGGCGTGAATGAAGCTGCTGCTTGGATGGAGCTTCTGCGCGATATGAAGCTGATGCGGGCAGTGCCTGATTGCTGCAGGTGAGGATTTGCGTGAGTGTGCTGAGTGTGAGTGACTGATTGCTGTTGCTATGGGCAACAGCAGGAGGACTTTGCGCTCCTTGAGATCCATGAAAGGGAAAAAGGGAAACAAATAGAGAAAACCATGAAAATGATTAAACAAAACTTAAAATTATTGTATTGGCCAAAAGGCTCAAATTATCTTGCTGTGCACAACAATTTATTAACAATTGTACAAAAGTTTGAGTGCGTTTGATTCATCATAAGACCAATTAGGTCAAATAAATGTGTTCAAATGTTGTTGATTAATAATGTAACAATAATATAACTTTAAAATGACATGTTATAAATGGTCCACCTCGTGCTGGTGCAATCATCTGGAGCCCTGTGTTTAACCAGACCCCATCTAACTCTCCACAGGAAGCCAAATTCAACACTGTATTATAGTTTTCCCAGATTTGCTTATCGTCTTTCTGCTGGTGCGCAGTGGCATGTACGTGATGATCATTGTTAGCCCATCTGTCTCTCCTTTAGATGTGTTCTCAAATGATTGAACACAGTGAGAGGGCCTTTATGCGGCTGCACTGAGCAGCACACTGACATGAGTGGGCGGTAATGGCATTTTCACTGTAATAGGAACACAATTGCAAACATCATTCCTTATTCTGGGCCTCTCTCTGGTGCAGTGAGATTTTACAAAGGTCCAGTTGTCTCTGCTTTCCACGCATCTATCGTCAAAATCCAAATCACTGATGGAGCGCATCCACTCCCGGTGCCACTTCCAGTCCACTGGTGCTGGGTTGGAGCAGGCCTGTGTAGGTCATAGATCAGAGCAGATGAGCTGTCGAACACAGGTGCTGGGCGTCATTTGATCACTCTGTTAAGAAATGTCAACTGAGCCTGAGGCAAAACAAATGGTGGTACTGTAGTAAAAGATTATTTTCTGCTGCATTACCCCATTTAGTGTTGTTTAAAAATGCAAATCTAAAAATAGGGGAAAAAACAGTATATTTTATTTACTCTATTACTCTATTTCGATCGAATACAAAGGGCTTGTTTATTTATTTAGTTTAGTAGTTTAGTTTGTATTTGCAAACAGAGAATTATTGCAGCACATCTCAACGTTTGCCTCAAATGTCAGAAGAGCTTTGTTGTAGAAGGACAATGAGCAATATGAAACACAAATAGATTTCCAAACAAAAGGTTGTCTTTTGGGGGTTAGACATATGATAACATTTCCATCTAAATGCAGATTTGGCAGCGACAGTGAGGGCATGTGCCTGAGTTTTCATTCATCATTTCACTGTCAGCAGTGTGCTCGTCGTTATTACCAGGTTTTCTTTAACATTGACTTGCATCTATTCAAAAGAGAATCCACAATTTAATTAATTTGGTTTAGTTGTGCAAATCACCTTAGCCAAGAGGAAACCAGGATAAACATTTGTCCAAATCAAGTGGACCGAGTGTGAGTGGGATTGTGATTGTAAAGCTTGGTTGCCTTCATCTGTGCAACTGTTTTGCTATTGGCAACATAAGCAGTGTAACGTTATCCACATGCTGCTCATTCAGGTGGAACACAAGAAGAAACTGGCTCGCACTTTAAACATTACTGATGCCTCTCAGCAGGGGAAAGCATGTGCTTGTTTTTGTGTTTCATTTGTGAGGAACAGCACTGTTATACAGAACAAACATAAGTGTTTCCTTCACAGGGGTTCCCAAAGTGGGGACTGGAACACTATCACGAGATGATTAACACTTTCTACATTATATTTTAAACAAGAATGTATCCAAATTGTTAGGAGCAATTTGATCAAATAGCACAATACATTCATAAAAATTCATCTAAAGCAATCATTTTGGAATTATTAATTGTTGAATCTGATGAAATTTTGAGTCCTTGAGTTGAGTCATTCATATTGATTTACCAGGTTTGCAACTATTCTGAAAAGGAAAAAAAATATTACTAGGAGAATCAGCACACATCAGCACATGAAAATTATACCAACACATATGGAACGAAATATAATTTAATTTCAGTTGCGTTTAAGTCTTGACGAGTAAATTGTTAGTAGAATGTCTGTCATCTCCAACATCCTTCATCTTCAATCAAACAAAAGCTATAGACTGTAACAAAACAGTGGGTGTTCAGTGGGAAATGTTGCTCCCTTCAGACCTTATAGCCAATTACATCTCACCCTGTCACAAATAAACAATGCTACATGCTGTTACTCCAAATATAGATAGCCTTTTAATGTCAACATGAAGGACACATCGGTAGCTCCTTGCCTCCTCCTTTACTTATGTATTCCTCACCTTTCCTCTTACCGCCTCTTAAGCCTGTGATAGTCTGTCTGCATTTAGTTTTACAGGCCACTACACTCCACAGACCTGAGCCACTTTCAAGTGCCCAACCTGGCTTTTTTCATAGCACAAATCCTGTTTGATGCTGCCACATGGGCCGAGTTGGACTAGTGAGGTGGACAGGGAGCGGGTGGTTGGCTGAAAAAGGGTGAATTATGTGTGTTTATGTGACTATTGGGAGGAGAAATGTGATGGGGCTCGTATTCAGCACAGAAAAGGGCTCTGCGGCTCTCAGCTCAATGCACTGTAATGGTTTTGTGTGAACATTGGCTTTTCACACCATTACATTTATCTTGTAGGAACATTAGGTATCCAGTAAGCGATGACGGATGATGACATTAAACATTGTCTGTGTAGAGTGCGTGTGGAGGGTTTTAGTATCCCATGTATCGAAAATGCTGGCCTCAGAGTGAGTTTTATTGAGCCCACGCACATGAAGCTCAGAGTAATGGGGAGCACTGAGCTAATCTTGAAAGTTTTTTATTTACTTAGGTTTAAGGCAAGGCAAGTTTATTTGTATAGCACAATTCATACACAAGGCAACTCAAAGTGCTGAACAAAACAAGAAAGCATTAAAATCATAAATAATCACAGAACATTAAAAAGAACAATAAAAATATAAAATCCCTCAGTTGTATGCACAGCTAAACAGAACTGTCCCTAACCTGGTTTTAA